TATTAGAGATTATAGAAATTCTTTCATGGAAAAGTAACAATTAAACGAGTTCAAATTTACATAAACACTAAAGTGTAAATTAACCTTGTTTCGTATATAAAGACTTGCCCTTGAATTCATAAAAGATAAAGACCTCGTTCCTGCTCCTTCTAATTGTATTTTCCTTTGATTATAGAATCAACGGGCCAATGAGGAAACTCAAGGTCACTCGGCGAACTATGGAATGGGTTATGTCCGTAGTTTCTTAGGGGAAGCCAGACTTGGGAAAGTTGTAATGATGATGAATGATGATAGAATCAACAATCAGTAAAACTGTTTCATGGGACGGGCGTTAAATTTGAAGAAGAAAATAAGTGATTACTTAACAGTCGACTAGAGCAACAAAAGTCTCACCTTTTTGAGAGGAGAGAGACAAATGAACCTTTTTTTGTTAATTGTTACCTCGCCGTCAATTCTCAATATAAATTGTGAAATAATAATGGAAGACTTTTAATTAAGGCAAGTTATAGACGTACAAAAGTATCCATTTGGTGTTATAATAAAATATTATTTACTTTGAAGTAAAATATATTAGTGCTATTAAATCTAATAGAAAGAAGGTAATAAAAAGTCAGAATGTATCACGGCCAGCTTGGAATACAGCATTATTATTTTAATTTCATCCGGATCCCTGGATGAAATGAAATTAAATTGATGCAGCTAAGTACTAAATTATTGGGCCGTGCTAGTCTGGATATAAGAGCGTCTTAAATTTTAGTTAAGTATGCAGACCTAGTTTTCTCATTTACCCAATATTCGGTGGTAAAATAAAATATCGTGAAGGACGACCCATCATCTCTCAAAAGTTTAAGTTAATACAAAAAATGTAAAGTAGCGCCTATTACTGAGAAACTGTCAGAGACCACGCTAAGGGGGTAAAGACATGTTATACGAATACTTGATAGTCATGCAATGAAGAAATACTTTTCTATAACTACACAAAAGAGAGAATGAAGCTGACCACTAACGACCTGGATAACAAATGTCCATAGACACATTAATTTCTGATCTGTATGTTAACAATGCCACTAAGTGAAATATATAGCGACACAGGATAAAGAAAGCCGACTCGTGTAATTTTTTTATAGGATAGGCTGACAAACGAGCACACAGTCCACCTGATGGTAAATGGTTGCTCTGGCCCATAGACATCTAGGATAGATTGTCGTTTATTGTCGTGTAGTGACGTTTGCGAATCAAAATGCAGATGCGTTGGCAATCGTGAGGACTAAGATGGAATGCCTCTTTTCATGTAAAAAGGGTCTCCGGTTCCGGTATACGAAACAAAGCAGTATTAAGCTGCTATTTTACGCTTGTAATCTGTGAGAGCGTGGTCCTTCTCCGGTCGAGCCGATCCATTGGTGCTACAACTATACTACTAACATAGCTGCAGCATGGCTCTACCATATAATAGGGAGAGTCCACCATCACGCATAGAAGCAGCGCGGCGGGCTCTTCCCCCCTACCAAAAAGAAGTCCTGCAAGCAACAGCGGGACGTGTGTAATCATCATTGTCATCATTAAATCCTATCAAAAGTCCACTGCTGAAAATAGGCCTTATGTAATATTTATAACTTGTGTAACCGACTTTTTTGAAACCTGCCCGTCCACAATTCCCTTTGTGCTGCAGTTGTTCAGGGGTGGCGTTTGTCACCATCATTGATCTGCATGCTCATTTGCCCACTCTGATTTAGAAATAAGTGGGGATATTTGCCAAGTTGTCAGGCGCGTTATCAGGAAGGTAATGTCTAATGGATATTCTGTTTTAGGTTCCCTTTCTCGCCTCTTGAGATACACACGGAATGATATAAGATAGTGAATTCTCTTACGCTGTCAATACACGGCCCGTAGGATACGTGACGAATGTAGTTATTTTATAAAATGTCTGTGTAATGTAGTTAGATTTGTCACAGAAGCCGAATTTTAAGTTTCAATATGCCAGTTAGTTAAAAATTACAGTTACAGCCTATATATGCTGGGCACAGGCCTCCCCTCATTTCTGAGAGGGTTTTAGGGCAAGGAAATGTCCGCCACGCTGCACCAATGTGTGTTTGGCAAACTTCACATGTCTTCGAATTTTTTTTCTCTTGTTTCTCAGACATGCAGGTTTGCTCACGATGTTTTCCTTCACCGCCGAGCACGTGGAAAATTAGTACTTAAAATTGCAATATACAATTTCATTGGTGCCGGCGGGTATCGAACCCGGACTGCTGGCGTACTGTGAAATTTAAAGCAGGCGCTAACCATCTGAGCTACCACGGCTCACGATATGCCAGAAAGATTAAAAATTAGTTTGAATTATTTCGAAATTTAATTTATTCCAATGATGTAATTTAATTTAAAAGAGAATCAAACCGTGCAAAACCATTTGTGATGCTTTAAATAAGTCGTTTTTATACAACATTTGACCTTAGAATAATTTTAATTTAACTATTTCACCTTGGAGTTGACAATTACAAAATAGCATAATAGATTAACTTTAGAAAACGTTTATCATGACTGTCTGAATGTCTTTGATCATGACCCTTGTCATATTGCAATATAGTAGGAATAAATTGCGATGTTAATTGTTCATAATTATCTTTGTATGCGTGTTAGCATAGACTAATAAATTAAATTATGTTATTTTAACCTTTAATAAAAAAGAATCAAATATTTTTCATTCGGAAGTAGGTGCTAAGTAAGACATATGTTAATAATAATCAAATCCCTGACTTCAAAATGTTAAATTTTTTATTCGTTTTAGTTATTTCAATCATCACTATTCGTTCACAACAGACTGAATTAGAGATATTGCTTTACATATACCTATACAAAAACATACAGTTGAATTGATAACCTCCTTTTTCTACCGACTTCAAAACGAAGCCGGTACTCAATTCGACTGTATGTTTTTTTTATGTGTGTTACATCATAACTTCTCACTTTATTTTTTTATTTGAAATATATATAAAAAAAATATTCTTTTTTTTGTTTGAAAGTTGGTGCTTCACATGTGGTCGCATATAAATTTGATCAAGGTCTGACCAATAGTTATTGAGTTATTCTTAATAATTTATATCGAAGTCTGTTGTACAAAATTTTTAATTTTTAATTATTTTCAGTCAGCTAAAAATATGCATTTGCTTTAATATAGGAAATCATAACATTAATGATAATTTAGTAACAATTCGCAATATTTGATTATCCCACAATATATGTTAATCGATTGAAATGTTACGCAATAGTTTCTGTGAAATTATCCAAACGTTATTCAAAAGAGATCAGCGCCCGAAAATATGACGAGTATTAAGCCTATTCACTCCATACTTTAACCTATTATATTATGATTTAATGGATGATTGGGTAAAGAAATAAATCATAAACATTATGTCTGTTTTTTTATTTATTTTTTCTGTTTTTTGGTTATTGATGACCCAATAACTTACAATATTATTCACAATCAATGCTCAAATTCATTTGTATGATAAAAAAAAAACAAAGAAATGTCATTTCAATGTAAAGTAATATTATGAATGAAAAATAATTTTGTATTTGTTTAGTGTATGAGAAAATATTTTTTTCTCTACATATACCATACATTTAACTTTATTTATGGATTTGCGTTAAACTTGGTAGAGTTACGTTGCAGCTATATCGTGATTGTAGCACGATTGGGTGGTCTTTTACTTCACTTTTTATTAAATATTATTTTTTACCCTTTTGAGTAAACTTAGAAATATCACAATTTTTACGTGGTAGAGCCACGATGCAGCTATGTTTGGGTGTAGCTCGAATGTGTCAGCTCGACCGGGGTAGGACAACGCCCTCACAGAATACCAGCGTAAAATAGCAGCATAATGTTGTTTTGTTTCGTTTGGTGAGTGTAAAGAACCGGAGACCCTTTTTACTTTGTCCTCAGGGGTGAACACGCATCTCCATTTTATTTCTAACCAGCGACAGATGTAGATGTCTATGGGCCACAGCATTCACTTACCATCAGGTGGACTGGGTGCTCATTTGTCACACTTATTCTATAAAAAATTCACAAATCAAAATCAAAATCTCAATGTTGTCTAAATATTTACATACAAAGCTTAATACCTATTTTTCCACCCGTAATCAGCAATGCTAATTAGTACGCTAGGCAGGCAATTTGGCAAACGGATATCTAGATGTTTTTGACGGTTCACTCACATCTGACAGACTGTACAAAATAAACTATATTCACCGGGCATTGCCCTTTGTTACATTTATCTCACGAAACCAACGGACGAAAAGGCGATAATAGATACTTGAAAAGAGGAGCGTGCCGCCAAATACTTTAAACTTCGTCAAAATTACAAATAATATCAAAAGGTGTGAAAAGGAAAAAATTGCATAGAATAATATCTCTACCTAATGAACGAACGAGACTCTGTCACCAACTGATAGCGAATAGTTCATCCTAGCAAGCTTAAGTCTCATATACTATACTAGCTTCGTTCTCTATCAAAATTACCTTGAAACTGAAATGCAATAAAAAGAAAATAAATAAATATATTACATGAACCATTTTGTAAAATATCATTAACACAATAATTTAAAATTACAACAACGATACTACACATCGTACAATAGAATCGATCGATCTCATGTTGTCCCGCTCATGTAAATGAGTTTTGTTCGGCTAACAGTTGAACTTGTCCTTGTCTAAAGATCCGCAACAACACACATACGGTGCTCGAAGTAGTCGGATTTTCTAGTTTATTTTTATCTGAGAGTTCGTGTGCGTTACGTGTTTGTAGTGTGAGTGGCCAAAAAATAAAAGTTTCATGTTTTATTAGCATTTTTTAAATTGTTCTATAAAATGTGCAGTGCGCATGCGTAGTATCGTCTAAACCTGACAAGTGACAAAGCGGAAACACGTGTTCATTGGCAAAATTCGCTTAAACTGCCCGATGTCAAGCTTTCGTAGTATTTAAGTGACCTTGTAAACAAAAATGGCAAGAGATAATACGGGAGTCGAATCGGCGATCGATCTTGACGCAATTTTAGCGCAACTTGGCCCTTTTGGGAAGTATAATATCGTGAATTATGCACTGTTATTATTCCCTATTTATTTGGCGGGGATGTTTGGATCGGTGTTTGTCTTTGAAGCCCCTGATATAAGTTACAGGTCAGTATTAATAAAGTTTACATACAATAAATTATTTCTTATGATCATTTAAGAATTATGAAAGTTTCAAGCGTTGTATTTCCGATATCTTTCAAAAAAGCTAGTGTTGTGTACAAGACTGATGTGTACTATGTACTAGTGCGCATGCGTAATTTTTTTCTTAATTCGTGAGCGTTCCCTACAGGTTACCGCATCTCCATTAATGCTCTCGTTTCTTTTCTTTTGTCCTTATCTTCTATATTAAGATGACACGTAAAATAAAATCCAATTTAAGAAAATAACCCAAGCTGACTATTTAATTTTATTTTTGTACTAATACCTTTTATGTGGTTTTTAGTTTTAATCGTTATCATCATTACAGCCTATTAAAGTCCATTGCTCAACTTATTTTCAAATTTTAAAGTTAAAATTATGTACAATCTACTTCAATGTATATTATTAACCCATTAGAGGCTTAGTTTTTTGATCGTCTTGGATTTGCGTGTTTGTTATATATATTATATATAGGTACCTACAACACATAATCGATTAAAAAAATAGGTCTCATTCCTGAAACTGAAAATAATCAATGATGCCATATGACATCGCTAGCCTCTTATGTTAGCATTTTGTATATAACTAAAAATATAAGAAAAGAGAAGCTCATACATTATAATCTAAGGACTTAATATTTTATGACGTTTTGAAAATAAAACAAGGATAAAGTTATTTAAAAAATATCTGTAATTCAGTGTTTTTATATTATAAAGAGTTAAGTATGGTATTGAAAATTACAAGAAAGGCAGAGACCTACACAACATTTTCAGCGGTTGCCCTAGTTTGGCTCTTACAGATTTCCAGCGTGCACCTTTTCTCTTTCCCACCTCAATAGGACCCAGCAGATGACCTGGTATGTAATTTTAGGATCTGGACAATAAAAAAGCAGCATATTTTTGAATTACGGATAAAATTATTTGTAACATTCGGTATCAAGGAAGAGTTCAAACATTTCAACTGGTATTTTTTCACGATACGGTGTGTAATCAGGTTCCGGAAAAATTACCATAAGATCTTCTTGTATCCAGATTTTCGGTCTTTTTGATGTTCTAGTAACTAGCTTGCTATCATCATCAGATAATGCGTCGAACTTGAAGAGCTGTCACGGGTTTTTGTGGTTTTACCTTAACCGCGGGTACTTTGCCCTCATGGCATGCGACTACGCCCTCTGCCAGTAGAGTGACGTCGGCCACGACCACCAAGACCACGTGTAGTTAAAAATCTACTAGTGGATGCTACAGGACTATATAAGGATATCTTGCCAAAAGTCCACAAGAGAACTAGGACTTCTTCGTGGCGCTAATCTTACCTCACATCTTGCATTTAATTGGCCTCCAGATAAATTATTAGCTAGGGCCCCCCTCGTCTTCGTCCGCTGAATCCTCATCTGTAAAGGTAGCAGGATCAGTTAGTTTAATACAAAATAACGCCGGTTTGTCTTCCTTGTCTTTTAAGCACACTAATGACTTCGTGAAGCGTACAATCTTTACAAAACAATTCAAAAAGTAAATGAAATCTAATATTTATCGCGAAGATAACAAATTATTATTATATAATAGATATATAAATTATAATGGTTTGAAAAAATAACATCATAGGTAAAAATAGAAACATAAAAATACGATTATCTCAATAAGTTTGCAATATGTGAAAAGACACGGTATTGAGCTAGCGGTGCCATACGACATCAGCTAGTATTTTGTCTCAATATTGCTTTCACTATAAGTCACTTTTCTACAAATTACGTATCACATCATAGGTAAACTATTATTGAATATACCCAAATGGTTAAACATGTATTTCATTTCATAATATGAACATAAAAGTTACTTACTTAAAAGCGTAATCCATTTTTCGACGTCTTTTTTCGACACTAAACTTTAGAGTATTCGTAGAAAAAAATTGCGTATCCTGATTAGCCGAAATTGTCATAGAATGAACTGATAGTCCATAACCTATTAATAAGACGTAGACCAATTACATTTGATTTTGTTTTGACAGCTCAGGTTGTGAAAATTCATACCTCTCCTAAGTGATGCCAAACGGCATCACTAGCCTATAATGGGTTAAAGATAACTTAAAAGCTATTGGTCAGACCTTGGTCTAATTTATGCGGGACCACACAAGAAGCACCAGCTTTCAAATAGTAAAAGTATCATCGAAATCGTTTCACGTAGAAAAAAGTTATGAGGTAACACACATAAAAAAAGAACATACAGTCGAATTGAATACCTCCTCCTTTTTGTAGTTGGTAGAAAAACATGCGTGAATATCATGAAACGCTCGGTTGAAACGAATTTCCTTTCGTAGTATATTATTATTGATAAAAGTATTATATTATTGCTTAACAGATACAGACTTTGTTATATGGCAGCGAAACCTGGGTATGCCAGAAGAAGCATAAAAGCAAGTTGAATGCAGTGGAGATGCGATCTCTTCGTAAAATGTGCGGCGTTACCATGGCCGACCGAAAGCGAAACGAAGAGATTCGCAATATGGCAGGTTTGAAAGATGACCTTATCACAAAAATTGATAAGGGCGTGCTTCGGTGGTTCGGGCACGTTGAGCGAATGAGTGAAGACCGAATGGTGAAGAAAATATATAGCGCGAAAGTTAATATTAAAAGGTGTCGAGGTAGACCGAGACTAACTTTTGAAGACCATGTGAGCAAATTGCTCGAAGGGGGTAGGGTCAAGAGTACTCGGATACCTAGACGTGCATGTATGAAGAAGATAATGAATCTGAAAGAAGAGGTATGTAAGGATCGTGACACTTGGCGATCTGTTCTCTCTGGCTACCCCGTCAGGGATTGTGCGTGAAAATAAGTAAGTAAGTAAGTTAACAGATACAAATAAATGAATTATTAGTGTCTATGAAAATAAAGCGTCAATTAAAATAATATTTATTTCATGACAAGATAAAAAAAATTGCGAGGTAGATGGATATTATTCCATCTCGCTCGCACCATAGAAAGGGGGTCGTGAGTCGTGACGGAAAATCTTACACTTTTCTCGCCTAGCCCCCATCCGCCAAATTCGTACGAGGAACTTTGTTTGATAAGTGACAGTTTTCTATTCATATCTCCTTTCGCCTTTCATACTTAAGTTTACTTTTAGTTCTTGTACTATTATTTATTATGTACTATTAGTTAAAACTAATCATCAGAGCGATATAAACCAATGTTATTAAAACATAGTTGTTTCTCATAAGTTGTTTCACAAATAAAAATATTTACCACAATTTCCAATTCAATGTACGAAAGTAAGTAAGAAATAACGTAATAATAGGTAATACCTTAGCAATATATTTTCCCTTACACAATAGGATGATGTGTAGGGTTGTCGACTTTCTTCTAAAATATAATATTGTACTCCATTTTATGTAAGTGTACTTTATAATAATATAACTAGCGATCTGCCCCGGCTACGCAGGGGTGATTCCTGGATCTCGACAAGAACGTCACCTACGGGGTTCAATTGTTAATCTAAACCATCCAGGGACCTACTTAAACGTACACAAATAGTTTCTCTAATATTGTTCGAGCCGTTTTCAAGTTTTAGCGAGACTAATGGACAGAAATTAATTTTTATATATAAAGATTATAGCCCGAACTATAATTAATATATTTTTTTACTTTCATTATAACGCCCCCGCACTGCCCTCTGTGGGTGGAATTTCATAAAATTCGTTCTTGGCAATTTTTAACATGCCAAAAGGAATATTTTTTTATAGGATAAGGGTGACAAACGAGCACACAGTCCACCTGATGGTAAGTGGTTGGTATGGCCCATAGACATCTACATTTATCCTCGATTACGAATCAAAATGTAGATGCGTTGTCACCCATGAGGACTAAAATGAAATGCCTCGTTTCCAATAAAAAGAGTCTCCGGTTCTCTACACTCACCATACGAAACACAGCAGCATTATGCTGCTAATTTACGCTGGTATTCTGTGAAAGCGTGGTCCTTCCCCGGTCGAGCCGACCCATTCGTGTTGCAACTATACCAGAAATATAGCTGCAGCATGGCTCTAGCACGTATAATAATAATATTCTGGGCGAGTTTAATACTTGTAAAAGCTATAGTTTGTAGTTGTGATTTTTTTTAATTACCCCGTAACCCCCCTTGCGGGTGGAATTTCGTAAAATCCATTCTTAGTTGACCTCTACTCGGCAAAAGGTATATCCCTACCAAATTTGTGGTCTAGGCCTTATGGTTCCAGAGATATCGCACGATATATATATATATATATATATATATATATATATATATATATATATATATCTTTTTTTAATCTATATTTTTTAACTTTCTGATATCACATATACTTTATCACTTCTTAAAAAGAAATGACAACCTTAATGAACTTACGTGCAAGTGGAAACGTCCTTTGATGTTTGACGAACCTGGATAGAACGAATGATGAATAATGAAAAATCTATCCAATAATAACGAACCCAAAGGCTAGAGAAGGGTGGTAGCTATGCTTGATCAGAAGTAGATCAACGAAAGACCGTGCAACCACGGTGTTAAAATATCCATTGCCCCATATTAGCCGTGGATTTTGTAAGAGGTGACACAGTGGAACAAACTAGGACCTGGGTAGCATCTTCCGTATTACAACTAGAAATTATAATTACGTTTGACAACCCACCCGACAAGCAATCCCGGAAGCTATGGCGAATGTCCATGTCCATAGGTCTCATGAGGCAGTAGAGACTAACTATAGAGAGGCCTATGTTGAAACTTTGACACTTTTGTAGGAAACGCTCGAGTACACCACACGCCCCGCAAAACATTCCATACTAATAGCCTTACGCTTAAAGAAAATAATATTAATTTGACGGCTCCGTTGCGTAGTGACTAAGCATTGAGTTGCGGTGCGGAGGGCTGCGGTTTCGAATCTCGCATGGACCAATTATTTGTATGGCCTACAGAACAATTTAGTGTTACGCGGGTTAC